TACTAGAAAGGGAAAGATTCTAACCCATTCCTTCCTGTCTTCTACTGAGTAAATTGAGTTTAAGCTACTTCTGTATTCAGTTTGCAGCGACTGAAGTAAGCTGAGCACATGGAGTAAAGTTGGACGACATATCAGAAACTGGCGCATTTTAAAAGTAACTGGAAAAAGTGGGACAATAGAGAGTTACTTTTTCTACCATTGCTAAATCAGGATAGTTGCAGGGCCTGCACAAGCAGAGTTTCATGAATGTGGCCATTTCAAATAGTCTTACATCCTTCTATTAGGAGCCCCCGGTGGCGCAGTGGGTGAAACCCCTGTGCCGGCAGGACTGAAGACCGACAGGTCGCAAGTTCGAATCCGGGGAGAGCGTGGATGAGTTTCCTCTATCAGCTCCAGCTCCTCACACTAGGATGATAAAACATCAAATCATCTGGGCATCCCCTGGGCAATGTCTTTGCAGATGGCCAATTATCTCACACCAGAAGCGACTTGCAGTTTCTCAGGTCATTCCTGACATGACAAAAAAAAAATTAAATCCTTCTATTAATATTAACTAGAGAATTTTGATTTGCCATTCACAGTTGGGCCAATACCGTACTCTAGTTGGGAGCACGGTAACCTACAGGATTTCAGCTATGCAGTTACACCTTTTTGGAGAGTGCTTACTTTACTCACTGTATTTGTAGAAAGTGCTTCTGTGCATAATGGAAAAACAAGCGGGTGCATTGGCGGATACACAATTAGTTGTACAGTATCAGTATCCAGCAAAAGGGCAATAATGGTACAACTCCATGAGTACAGAATTACACTCCGCAAGAACAATGTAGGATCTTGGCCAATGATATATTTGCTTATGTGCCTTTGGAAAAAAAATGTTATGCTGCTTTCCAAAATGATGGATGTTGATGAAAGAGATGCAAATTTTAAAAAAGACAGTGGGAAAAGCACATTTTTTTGCATATACAAATGTGGTTAAGAAGCTTCATATAAAGGTGTCATGTAGGAAAACGTGTATTATTTTGTGTACTAGTTTATGCTCCAAATTTGCAAGCATGACTCAAGAAAGAGCATTCTGCAAGGTCAGAGCAGATGAGATCTCCCATTCAAACATAGGGTGTATTGTCTTTGCTTTACGCGTCATTCGTTTGAACCTGCCTGAGTTTTAAGATCTTCTGGGAAGGCTTTCATTTGGTTTCACCATCATCACAAGTGCATTTTGTGAGGTCTTTTCAGTGGTTGCTTCCAACATGTGGAATTCTTTCCCATGGATGGATTGTTTGGCCCCTCTCTGTTCTCCTTCTGTATTAAATTATGGGTTTTCATAGGATTGCTTATTTAATGGCTTTTAACATGTAACCTTGGACCGCGAGAAGATCCAACCAGTCCATCCTCCAGGAAATAAAGCCCGACTGCTAATTGGAGGGAAGGATACTAGAGACAAAGTTGAAGTACTTTGGCCACATCATGAGGAGACAGCAAAGCCTAGAGAAGACAATTATGCTGGGGAAAGTGGAAGGCAAAAGGAAGAGGGGCCGACCAAGGGCAAGATGGATGGATGGCATCCTTGAAGTGACTGGACTGACCTTGAAGGAGCTGGGGGTGGTGATGGCCGACAGGGAACTCTGGCGTGGGCTGGTCCATGAAGTCACGAAGAGTCGGAGATGACTGAACGAATGAACAACAACAACATGTAACCTGAAACCCCCGGTAGCGCAATGGGTTAAACCCTTGTGACAACAGGACTGCTTACCAAAGTCAGCGGTTTGAATCTGAGAGTCAGGGTGAGCTTCCATCTGTCAGCTCCAGCTCCCCATGTGGGGATATAAGAGAAGCCTCCCACAAGGATGGTAAACATAAAACATCCGGGCATCCCCTGGGCAATGTCCTTGTAGACAGCCAATTCTTGTGTTGGCAGGACTGCTGACTGAAAGGTCAGTGGTTCGAATCTGTGGAGAGCACAGATGAGCTCCCTCTTTCAGCTCCAGCTTCCCATGTGGGGACATGTGAGAAGCCTCCCACAGTATAGTAAAACATCCAGGCATCCCCTGGGCAACGTCCTTGCAGATGGTCTATTATTTCACACCAGAAGTGACTTGCAGTTTCTTATGAAGAAACAACAACAATATGTAACCCTTTGCTTTAATCGCAGTGTAACCTATCTTGGGTCCCATGCCAGGGAAAGGCAGAAAAGCAAGCAGCGAGAAAGGTAGAAGATAGACAGAAATACATTTTCTAAGCTGTCTTGAGTCACAGATGAAGACCTCAAAATACAACTGTTGTATAGAGGTGGTGGGAATCTCAAATGTCTGGAGACACATGTTGGTTGCCCTCACCTTTTAAGGACTCAGAGGTACATCCATGTCACAATGCAGTAGCCAAGTAAGATTTATTGGGTGATGAGCATGCCATAGATGATGCTACTGCGGAGAAGATAGCTAGAAGAAGCCGAGTGGATTTCTGAGCGTTTGAGACTGTGAACTCCATTAACTTCAAGAGCGGAAAGAGCAGAAGTCTGCAGGAGGGAGAGGAA